GAGATAATCAAAGATCCTCACATCCTGTCAGTGTCACTCACAAGAGGAACTTCACAGGCCAGTGTGAAGGAGGTTCACGAGAGAAATACAGGAAGTGAAATCACAGGAGGATCCTACAGAAACACGTTTCACTTTCTGTGGCTTCTGACTTACAGTAGCTGGGTTCCTGCTGTGACTTTACTTTGTCCAACAAACTGAGAGCTTTGTGTTACTAAAACACGAGTTTGAACTTTTGGGAAATAAGTTAATTCGCTTTCTTGCTGAGAGTAAGACCACTTGTTACATCCAGTCAAGAAATAGTTTGGCACATAAACCCCTAAGACCACGTTAGTTTGTTTTTACACTTCTGTCATTAATGCGGATTAAAAAATGAAGATATAAAACGTATTAATATTAGCGAGGCTTTAGGGATTGTTAGTAGTTGGATCTTGTGTGATTTTGTTGCCTTCGCACAGAGCCAGGCATACCTGGCTACGTCTGTTTCCTGTCTTGGGGGGTTCAAGCTAAGCTAACTGGGATGCTAGGCTGTTGCTTTATTACCAGACAAGCATTATTTGAACGTGGTTACGCTATATCTATTCATGCAGCTTAAGAAAGGTGAATTCATGAGATTTCTCCAAAGTATGGGGGCCAGAGCCAGCAATAGTTTAGCCATAAGCTTAGATCAAGACTGGAAAAACTAGCTGGGCTCTGTCCCAAGCACCTCTAAATCTCGCTTTGTTTGCAATCCATCTTTGCTTGGGCTCCACTCGAGACTAGAGTGGTTAGCCGAAACCAATCAGCATCTTTGGAAGACAGTACTCGGGCCGCTAGGTGTAGCCAACGTAAGAAGCATCCAATTAAAGATGCCTTTCATCTCTCCGACCTGACAGTAAGAGTTTGATTTACATATATTTATGATCACTTGTCTGATTGGTGGACGTTGCCCTCTTCCAAACAGTTTCCAATGACAACTTCTCAGATGTTTCGTGTAACAAACCATCGCGCAGTGGGTTACCAAGTAACTGCCCTGCACATAAACCCCCAGTCTTTATGCTGGGCTTAAATCTCACTTGCTGCCCTGACTGCAGCTTCATGTTTAACAGAAGTGAGATTAGTATCTTCTTATGTAACTCTTGGCAGGAGAAGCAATGAGTCACATTTCATTCAAGCTCTGCTTTTTTATTTCTTAAAGCAGTTTAAATGTCACAAATCATAAAGTTGTGTTGAAATAATCAAATAAAAATGACTAAAATAACATCCACTATTTAAAAAACTGCTCAAAACAGAAACATTTCATTGTTAATAAAAAGGAAAAGGAAAAAGTTTTCATACACCAAAACACCAATATTTAAGAAATATTGATTTAAAGACCACATTTCTCAACTGAAACCACATAATGGTCTTACTCCACAATAAGTAACATCACTTGGATACTGAGAAATCTTACTGAAACTGCAATAATCATCAGGTGACTAAAGTAAGTATCTCAGCACCAGTTTACATCCACATTATAAAGTCTTACCTGTCGCTGCACTGTCCTCACTTTGCACCCACATCCTGCTCTCCACACAGTTTTCACGTTTTTAGTTCCTTGGTAAACTAAATTAAGTGTCACATTCCAGCACAAACAAAAACCTGCTTTCTGTTAGAGCAACAGTAGCCTTATTAAGGAGGAAGCAAGTGGGAATTTCTGCTTAAACCCTCCCCCACTGACACAATTTAAAAGAGGAACTGTATAAAAAAAAAATCTTAATCTTTACAGTTTAATGTCGGTTTATAGACTAATACGAGAGCTTTTATGTATTTTTGATCACTAAAAAGATGCATTTTTTTTTACGTAACTTTTGATCATGTTCGTTAGATTTTGCTTTTGATGTTACAAATAAGATGGAGGATGAGGTGTCTGAACTTTTCCCCTCTTTATACACTGAAAAGAGGAAAAATGTGCCCTCTGACCATGCATGTCGTCTCTAAGGGACGACACTGTCTCCCTGCTGCAAGATCAATGTCACTCAAGCAGCCGGAGCAAAGGCAAAGCTGCTTTTATTCCTCTATTAGCATCTGTGCTCAGAGTTCATGACCTCTGAAACATCAGACCTGCCATGGGAACCAAATTCTGGGTGATAATTCAGGAGATGATGTTGATGACACACATTCCTCCACTATGAATAATTGAAAAACTTTTTTTTTATTTATTCACCTGCCTTTCAGGAGTTTATTTCTAGGAGCACACTGGGTCAGGGTTAAGTATTTAGAACAGTTTCTTAAAGGATCAAACTTGTGTTATTCAGCATTTTTCAACAAATCCTACTGAAGACTTTAATCTTTTAAAAAGGGCTCACAAATATAATTTAATTCTCAAAACAGGCTCCATAATTTCCTAAAACAGTTTTATGAAATGGTGCATTTCTTTGGGGCTATTTTCTGCTGCGGATTAATACACAATTGGTGTTCTAGTAGTACAGTAGCAGTGTGTTTGAGGGGTCAATTTAAAATAAACAAGTGCCCATGCTCATTGAAATGAGGGAGCAACAGTGTCAGTTAATTAATGGTGGCATTGAGGTGGATTATGACCAGAGTTTGCATTTATGTGGTGAATTATAGGCAAACAACCTTTTTTAAGATTATACACTTACATTCAGTAATACATAGAATAATTTGTCTGGCATTAAATATCCTTCAAAATATATTTTCTGTTGCAACTGAATTGAATATAAGTGTATTTCTAGTAGAGAAGTTTGGTTTTTAATAGATTTTAAACAATGGTGGTCTAAACCACTTAAGATACACAGACTCATTGGTATAATGTTTGACGTTCTTAGGATCTTTTAATGGGATATGTTGACAGTAAAATTAAAAAGGAAATTATTGCCTGACTTGAACTTTAAACTGCCTTTAAATACTCTTTTTTTTCTTTCTGTAAACTAACTTCTAAGTCCTAAGAGCAATAAAAGGTAAGTTGGAAGTACTTTCCAGCAGATTCATATTAGTTACAGTTAAATCCTTTTTATAAAATATACCACCAAAATATAGAATGTAGTAAACTGTTACTATTACAATTAAACAAACTACAAAGAGTTTTTAATTGGTTAAGTTTAATACTGATGCCTCGATATGACCCATATACAAATAAGACCATTAGTGAGATATTGGCTGTTTCGTATAGTTCGCCTTAAATGTCTACCACCGGGTCAGATTCGGTGACATTCCCCTTGAAATCAATGAAACAAGGCGGTAGAAACACTACCGCTTTTGTCCAGGGGCCGCCAGAATCACCAAAAAATAGAGGTTCCTTGTAGCAGCTTTAATAGAAGCTGTGGAATAACTTCATACAGATTATTTAAACGCCCATTAAAATGTCCATGTGCTGCTTTAGGTAATCTTCATAATAAATTATTCCCAGCTTTATTGCCAATGTCTAATGACGTCCTTATTAGCTACTTTTTATCATATATACCTGCCATGGGAACCAAAAATATAAATATATATATATAAATATTTTTAATAATTCCTGGGAAAATAGATAATCTTAAAGACCTCATTCAGTTTTTTTGGGGGGTTTAAATCACCTACAAATTACACACAGAGTGGGCTGTACATCTGAACAGTAAGGAGCTGCTGTGATTCGTGGCCAGTGACGTTGTGATTTAATGAGTCTTTTCCTTTCAGTGTTGCTTCTCTTTACAGGCACACCTGGCACAAAACCTCCTCCGCTTGTCACCTGACCTTTACTAATTGATTCTTCACCAATGGTTAAATAAAGGTGAAATTGTCACTTAACATTAGCCGTTGTCTGGTGTTTCTTTCAGTGGGCGACATTGTCAGAAAAAAAAAAAAAAAACGTGCCTCATTTAAAACTGAGTCTTTTTAAATTCCTGGTTAAATGGAGACAGATTAGAAAAGCCAACAGGATTTACGACACAAAGTCAACACAAAGACTAAATTGGCCTTCTGACACTCTCCAAC